GGGGGGGGGGGGGGGGGGGGGGGGGGGGGGGGGGGGGGGGGGGGGGGTGTGGTGAATGCTCTGTACTTTCTCCATGAACCATAAAAATCTTTTTGTTTGAATAAACAAAATCAGAGGGGCTTTCCAGCACAAATAATTCATTTGAAGAAGGAAGAAAAATACCCCTATTTATCACTATGACAATCCTTCTACATTGTGAATAAATGATAATCTCAGAGAACATGTTTAGAATGAGAAGATTACAGAGTTTGTACTAGGGACAATAAAAAATCAACCCAGGAATCAGGGGAGGAGGAGTGGAGGAGGAAATGAAGCTTAAACACAACTAGGGAATGGATGGTGGAACTGGAAAAGTGAGACCAACATTTTTCAGTGACATCTTCAATTAAGTAACCTACTGCAGTTTTTGGTATAGACAGGAAGATGAACTAATTTAATAAACTACTCACCATTATTATTCAATTCACAATGCATTCCTTTTTCCTTATGTGCTGATTTGCTTTAAAAGGAAACACTGAATTAAAAAAAAACAAAAACAAAACGAAACAAAAAACACCAAAAAACCAACACAAAACACCAATTCTTGGTTCTTCATTAATTATTACTTTAATCTCAAAGTTACTGTCCAGGATCAGAAGTACTCAGCGAAGTGATTTGTTTCAGCTGTGTAGTATTTCAGAAAATTTACTGAGCTAACAACCATGCAGTGGTCCAACTGCATCCTGTTAACTGCAGGATCAGGGCCTACTCTAGAGGAAAGCTTAGAAAGCAAGCAAAACAAACAGACCCACCATCTGTTCTCGCAGACTCTCAATAACTAGCTGGTATGGTTGAGAATCGGTTACTGATTACAGTATTTGTAAAGTAGTTCCATCTATCATCGAATAAAATGCGCATGAATATTTTTGTGTGTCACTCGAGCAGTGGTAGAGCAAAGTGTAATACGGCCCAAGTATTTTATATAGATTGGTTTTAAGAATTGAAAGGGTTTAAAACTCGTCAGTTGAAATGGAGATTCATGGTCACTGTAAGGATTTAAATAAGGCCTCTTTCCCCTCCTCCAATAAAACCTTACTCTATGATAATATCTGATAACTTCAAGGAACAAACATGCTTTTGGGAGTTAAAAAGTGTTTCTCATGGGTAGTTCATACACCAGTGAAATGTTTGCAGAAGTATATGCAAATCAGTTATGGAAACATTTATTAAAATGTTGCATATAGACAAAATCACATGGTATAAATTATATTTGAAAGAAATATTTAAACAGGCATGTCCTGCTTTCCTTACAATGTCAGTACTGTTGCTGGGTTCCGTGAGTCCCATTTGAAGAAAGGGTAAACATTTTCCTATTTCTTGTTAGTATGAATTGGAAAAATGGTAACACGAGAGTAGACTACAGTTTTGAAACACTGTACTGATTTTCAATTCTGAATTCAATTCTAATATATTAGTTATTATAAATAGAGAACTCCTTAAAGTTGTATGAGAGAGGAAGGAAGATTGAATCATTCTTTTGTTTCATTAGAGGCTGTACATTGTTATGGCTCCAGAGACTTCAAGCAGATTTTTATCAATGCATGGCACAAAAAATGAAGTTGGGACAATAGCTTGGGCCATTTGTCAAATCAGTACTGCTATTCATAGGTCTAGTAATAAATCAGCTGATCTGGGAGGTTCTTTCTCCCTCTACGTGCATTTAGTTGTGTACATGAATGTGATTTGTCTGAGAGGTATTCCATTCTACTGACAAAGCTCGGCGATAGCCATTTCATTTCTTTGTCACATCTACTTACACCTGTTTGTTAACAGCAGTGCTGCCAGTGAGAGAAATTTGTTCTGGACATGTTTTGCTCCCTGGATATGAAATTTATACTGAAATGTCAGAATTGTTCTGACTTGGTACTAAGGCTTCTTGTTTCTCAAATTTTTCTTTACTTTTTCTTACAGCTGGAAAAAGTTGAGCTGGTGAATAGGATTCCTCTAGTCCCACCTCTGAGTCCTAGATTAGGCGAGATTCGAAATATTTCTTTGAGGATTACTCCAGATATTGCAAATGGAGAAATAGGCTTTACTAGCAATCTTCCAATTATTATTTCTGAGCCAGAAGATTCCCCCTTTACAGTGGTAAGTAAACCTTTTAATCTTGTCCCTTAGTATAGAAAATGTATTTCGAGAAGGCAAAGTTTGCTATATTCAGTGTAACATTTGAACGTTAATGTGTGGAAAATCCTTCCTCTTTGGGATCTGCCTGATCCCAAATATTCCTCTGCTTTAAAAAAAAAAAAAAAAAGACAAAGGGCAAAAACATGATTGTAAAACTAAGGTCTGAAATAATGTGTTAGTCATTATCAGAGAAGGGAGATTGATTGGTCTTTGCTTTCTCTGTAAGCATCTAAAACCTGTTAGGTCTTAATGCTCACACAGAACAAAAGATGCTGCAGACAGTTTTAATCTCTCTCACTAACTGCAAAGGGAGTGATGTAAAGTAGGACTGACAGCGCTTCTAAATTTCATGGAAGTGTCTGTATATGTGATAGTTGAAATACATACGAACATATAATTTGGCTCGCTGGGTGTGTTTTCCAACAATTATGCCTGTTAGGTTTTTAAGAATCCAAAGAAGCATTTTCTAAAACGTTGTCATCCAAGTGCTTTAGTCCCAGACGGAGAAACCTTTTTTAAAATGCTTTTTTTTTCATAGATTTTCCTTTTTTTTTTTTCCCCCTATTTTTTTTTCACTGAAATCTTCCCACAAACCCTGAATCAACAGTTCTCAGATTAAAACTGCTAATTTCCTTAAGCAGAGTACAGGTTGGCACTGTACTGTAACAACCAGAATGAAATTATGGTAGTTTACATTCAAAATCTAAATTGTGTCTTGATGAGGTGGGCACTTATTAAATCAGTCATTCCAGGCTTTTTCTGTTTCTGGTTGCTTAGTGATTTGTGATATTAATAATCTGTCATCTCCACTGTCTAGGTATGTAACAAATGGTTAAAAGTATAAGATTTGGTGTATATTTCTGTTAGTACACCATCCTTGATTTCATCTCTTATACATAGGTATGAGCCAAAAAACAAGGTGGACATTTCAATTCTCATATGCAGTAGTCACTTGTAAGGGAGTAATTGTTCTTGCATCTAGTTTTACAAGTCACATCAGACTCGTGTTTCGTAGGTTTACATTGCATTGCATCGAGATGGGACTGACGGTCAAGCAACTGTCTTTTGGAGCTTGAAACCCTCTGGTCTCAATCAAAACGCAGTAACAGATGACGACATAAGTCCTTTTAATGGCTCTGTGGTTTTCTTATCTGGACAAAGTGACACTACAATCAACATTACTATTAAAGCTGATGATATACCTGAAATGAATGAAACTGTCTTATTAACTCTGGACAGGTATTGTACCCTCATCTCCATTCATATGTATCAGCTGTAATAGCCAATTTATATATAACAAATTAGCACAGTATTAAGTAGGAAGTGTTGCCTGTATTGTGTTGATAAGTGCCTGAAGGAGTATTATCTTGATTCAGACTGTGTATGGATTCTTCTTTGACTGGACATCAGTGTAAGAAACTGTTGTTTTTATTAAGTAATGACTTAATTTTGTTTATATTTTGATGAAAATAATGTATGCTAATTAGGTTTGACCTTTAGTTATAGCTGTTGGTTATAACACATATCTTTTCAGAAGAGTAGTATTTAGTGAGATAAGGGGGAAAACTATAATGAAGAGTAGAAGGCAATACATAACTGTTTCCATCAGAAAAATGTTTATAGCTGGGGTGTCCCTGAAGAATTAGATGAGCTCTGCATCCAGTATTTTTTGCTCTTGACAGTTAGATACTTCCATCACAACCTCTGGCTACTGAAATAGCCCTGTGTGACCATTACCACATGCTTTGGCTACAAAGAGAGCAATGGTGTTTCTGAAGCAATGTGTTGTAGTCCTCCCCCTTCTGCACGAGAACAGGATTAAAGGATAATTAAGGCAGTAAGGGACCTCAGGAGATACTGTTATCCACACGTGAACACTACTCAGAATACTTGTTAGTTCATAACCAGGAGTATGTTCCCACTTTGATTTACTAACAGGAGAATCTTGGCTTTGTTTTCTCTCCTGCTTCCAACAACTCAGTTGTATACATAATTTATAAATGCCACCACTTCTACTAACTCCTGTTAGCCTAAGGTATATTCTTCCACTTTTTCTGGAAACATACTAACGGGGGTCTGCCAGCTGCAGTGTCCACATTAAACATCTACTACTTACACAGTCCTTCCCTTATGCAGAAGTATTCTTGTCCTGTGTAGGAAGTGCAGACTAGCTCTTGGGAACTTCAACACCAGATAACCATGGTGATTACATGTTAGCAAACCAGCAACCAGCTCCTCAAGCAGTTACTGATCCTGTGTTGAAAAGCCTGATTTCTGAACATCATTCTCCCAGGAAAGATGTTATTCCATTGCAGGATTGGCCTTCTTCTGTAAAAGCTGTCTGGTGGATGCATTTTGTTCAGAATGAGTTATTTCGTTCTAAATTGGCTACTCACTGCTTTGGAAAGACAGTTCTGTTCAAGACAAAACCAAATGGAGACGATTGCAAGCAGTTCTCTGCTTTCCTTCCTGTGGATGAAACTGATTTGTCCCAAGGAATCCGTTAGGGTCCCTGGCACAAAGCCAGAAACTAACATTATGAATGATGATTGAAGTTGCGAAGAAGTTGTGTAAAGTGGCCAAAAAATCGAAGTGGAAGGGTAGGAAACAAGTAAGTGTCTAGAGGAAGTGGACAGCATAAAAGATTAACTTTTTAAAGTTCTGACAGCTCTGCAGGTGTATATAACTACAGCTTTCTGCCACTTACTCTGCATAGTAACCCTATGCTGTGCCTTGAAAATGATGGCAGCAATAAGGGTCGAACTGCCAGCTGAACAAACGTAACCACTGTTCTGCTTTTGCTATGTACGGATGGGAGTAGCAGGTTCTGCTGGTTATGAAGTGGCTGGCAAAAAGTATGCCAGTGGAAGCAGCTTTCCCACACTTGGCAAAGTCAGAGAGTGAAGTAAGAAACAGGTAGACTGGCCTGGAAAGAGAAGTAAACAAGGAGGAGATAAAATCAGAACTTTTCTCCAGACCTGAAGAGTGTCCCTCAAGGGTATGAGTGGAACTGGGCAACTTGAACGTTAGCAGAAGCCAAGGATGAAATGACTGCAAAGATCATCCTTTCAGTGCTGGAGATGACTCTTCAAATCAGGGTTGAAGGATACTGGCAGGGTTGTGTATGTAAGCTTGTGGTATTTCTTTCGGCAAAGTTTGTGCTCTCTGGATCAACAGGAGATTTCAATTTCCAAGGCTGGCAGCCAGCACCTCACAGCAGTGGTGAATTAACATGAAAACAAAGATGCACTGTGCTGTGGATGAGCTTGTACTGTTCTATAAATTGTAGCATAAGTCAGTAGGAAAATAGAGCATGTAAGAACTTTAATGAAACTATAGACATAGAAATACGTTCATAAGCATTCCATTTATTGCAATTAGTAATAGCATGAATAAAATAATAAAAATAATTAGTTCTAACAAGAATGTATTATTTACAACCCAGTGGTGTTGTTAAGGCAGTTTACATTTTAAATGAGCTTTGATTGCATCCATAACTATAAAAGGAACTTTCCAAGACATTAAAAATAGTATTTTCCTTCCTTGCTTTATGGCCTTTGACCAGGGGCTGTAGATATTAAAAATAGCCCTGAATTCTGTCCACAAAATTGAGGCCAAATATATATAATGAAGAATATGCTTCCGTAGAAGACAAATGAGTAACAAAGAAGCAAAGACAATCCTGTACCTGCTGAAGCTTCTTCATATTTTCTTTTTTTTAGGAGAAGCTTCAGGTTGAATGCTTGCCCATATCCAAATAGGCCCGAATTGAGACCAAACAGAAATAAATCCAGATGTCTGTAGTTAAATCTGTTTGAGAAAGAAAAGGCCTTATGAATGTAGGTGGAACAGGCCCTGGAAATTGTGTGTATGCTTTGTGGAATCATATATAGAGACTAGGGCTGTCCGTTTCACCTGGTAAGCACAAATAGAAATCAGTTTTTAAAAAAAGCTGATTGTTATTTTTTCCTTCTGCACAACATATTCTCCTACTGGCAGTTGTCATCCCCTCAGTAAGGTGCAGATACACGGCTATCAGTTTGGCTCAGGGGAAGGGCCAGGACCTGCAGGGCACGTGGGTTGTGTTTGCACTCTTAGATGAAAGGTGCTGGGAGCGAGAACTTGTGGACTTTCGGATCTGGGAACAGCAATACACTGACAAATTTATTTTAATTTGTGAAAGTGATAATCCATGAACAGATGACTGTTTAAATAGTCCTTATGCTCAATTTTTTTTTTTTTGTCATGCCTCATATAATTTAGCATCCCAGAACAGATTCACGTACACGTGCTACGACATAAATCCCATATACTATATACAATAAAGCAAAACTGAAGCAATGTAGCAGGGGGATTTTTACAGTTCTAGTGACTCCTCTGATGCGATATAATTTTCCACAGGCTGAAAATCTGTCTTGAATAAATTTATAAAATAATTATTATAAAAATTGCAAATGCAAAACGTAAGTTTGACTGTTTCTTTGTGAACTGACAGTTTTTAAAGATTTTTGTGTTTAAGGGATTGCTTCCTGAAAAAAAAGTTAGTAAATCAAAGAAGGCATTTAAAGCCCTGTCTACAGTCCTTAGTTCAGGGCTCAGGTGATGTTTATATGTTATGGGTTGCTGTCTGCGTTGACATGCACAGGAACACTAATATGCTGTTTAATGGAGTTAGGATTTTCTCCTAACTTGGTGATTTCCTGTGGTTATTATCTGTTTCAAAACTATATTTATCTTTATTAAGTAATTTTTCTATTAAGTAATACATATGATGCTATATGAATTAATTCTTCCAGTGTAAAATGTTGGGTTTTTCTTCAAGGATTTGATCAGGCTTTGTGTTGATGGGGAAAAAGATATTTGAAAATAGTAGTAGAAAGTTTAAATGAGTGCTGCTGGACACCTACTGCTAGCTTTTATTACCTTTCAAAATAATACCACCATATGTCTCCTGCTATGAGTAAGAAAAATTAAAATAGCCTCCAAAATCAAATAATTCATGGATTAAACCTGGAGAGAAGGTGTTCCCTCTGATGAGAAGCACTGTGGAATTTATAATGTGGCAAATCCTACTTTAATACTGTTCTTTAAATCTAGGTCCTGCCACTAATTAAATCCGTAGATAATCCTGAAAAAATTGAGGGGGTGAACACTGACTACAGAAATAGGAAGCAAATTGTGTAACATTCCACAGGCAATCTGAATGCACCCTTTCTGCGATACCCTGATAGAAAATAAAGTTTTTTAGAGAAGTGTGTTTTTAACAGCAACAACTAAACAGATGCACAGTTGCAATTCTGTTTCTCAGGTGCCTTTCAGAGTATTCATTTTCTATGGGATTCCAATTCTTGGTCCAAAGCTATCAAATTCAACTACATTGCATCTCTTCCTAATTAATATTTTATTTGCAGTGGTATTTAGTTCATAATAACTTTGAAATTACCATGCTACTTTAAACTCAGTCAGAAATCCTCTTTGTGCTATTTTGCAGTACTATGTGTTTTAAAAGTGCAAAAAACATTTTGGAGCTTCTGTTAGTTGTCCAAATTAATCTGTAGTTTTTGCTAAATAATAATTAAAGCTCTTTTAAAGAAATAATTTCCCCAATGATGAGCCATTTTGTTGTCTGAAAAGAAGATTTGTTGCGAGTTGTGCAATAGGTCAAAAACCACACACTCAGGAGACATTGCTTATTTATTTCAGGGTCATGCAAGCGTAGGTGCTTGGTGGTTTCTGACAAATTTGACACACCAACGGGACTTTTAGTGCTGATTTTATGCAAAAAACTTGCAGAATTAGTAATTTTCCAAGTCCATCCTCTCTATGATGATTAGTAGTTATTTGCATACAATTATAATACTGCTGACACAATACTTGTACTGCTATGCATGCTCAGGGGAAGGGTCTTTACCTGGTCAAGGGTCTTCTTGACCTGTAGGTGGGATTTTTAGCATTATAATGAGGGTAGGTCAATGAAGGATACATGGACCTTGAGTTTGCTCACCCAGTTGGCACTGTATCCTCTTCAAGGTCTAATGGCTCCAGGATGTCCTTGCTCAAAGCTGACTATGACTTTGGCTTAATAGAGACAAAGAACATCTTTCTTGACCTAAGCGTAATATTACTACATTGTTCTAAAAGTTTGACCTTCAACAATTTCACATGAGATTTGTCATACGGGAAGTGTTGGTTTTGGTTGGTTTTTTTGGTTTTTTTTTTTTTTTACAGCTGTTTCAGCACAGAAAACACAATCACTCCATTTGAGATTGTGTTTCTTACATTAGCATCATAAACATTGCCGATGCTTATCTTCTTTGATGAAATAAAACTTCATGTCCGCAGACAGCCATTTTACAGAAAAAGTTAAGCTGAGGAGAAAGAAAAGCAAGTAGCTTTTCCAGTGAGAGGGATCTCCTTACTCCTGGTCAGGTGCTCTCTTTAGTAGCTGGAGTTTCTTGGTATGGCTAAGCAAGTGTGTACAAGGAGATGTTTTAACTTTTATCTTTACTCCTGAATGCCCACACCAGGCCAGACCGTGTGTTTTGGAAGGTCTGAAGAGCCAATTTTGTCCCGTGTCCACACTGCTGTTACAGGAGTGCCTAAAGAGATGTTTTCACATACCACAAAGAGTGAAACAGGACTAAACTGATCCTGTGCACTCCGTGGCAGTTGGGATGTCTTCACTCTGCGACAAAAGGACTGTACATGAACAGTGCGTTGTTCTTGGATGTTGTCAAGGCATGTAGCATGAGCTGATGGCTGGTGGCCTGTGGCCTGTGTGGTGGCCTGGAGCCAGGATCCCCGCCTGATAACATGGCTGGTCAGGCAGGAGCCCATCCCACTGCCCTCAGTGAGGCGGGAGAGCAGGCTGGAGTAACTGGAGGCAACCTGGACCCCAGGGCATCAGGCAGGGTCACGATGGTGGGGTGAGCCAAGCCAGGAATACACATCAAGTTTAGGCCAGATGGTGGTGACTGGGGTCAGACACAGCCCAGCCATCACCACGCAGGTCCGCAGTGAGGACACAAACCCAAGGTTGAGCCAGGAATTCACCTGGTGCATCCTGGTCCGAGGATTTTACAAGGATTTATATGTCTGTACCTCAGAGTGTAGACAGGAGGGATCCTATTGTGCACATGGTTCATTGCTCACGTAACAGAGCTCAGTTGGAAGGCTAAGCCTAGGTGCTTCTATTCCATTTTTTGCATATAGCCTATTTTATGACTTTTTTGAATAATAACCAACATTTACTGTGTCAGAGCAGTGATAGCAATCTGGCCAGTCATGCAGAGAAAACACGGTCAGATCAGTCGATCAATAAAGTGGTCTTGGTGTTGAAGATGGGACTTGGGTGGAGAAACCTCCCCAACAATGCTTTACTTTAGCAGTGCGCGGGCTGAATCTGACTAGTTGCTGTCTCACCTGAAAGTTCTCTAGATTCTGATCTGACTTACACTGTGACTGTGTCAAAGAAATAAAGTCTTGCCAGTCTTCTCAGTCCTTTCAAAGAACACCTGGAGGTGCTCAAGATGCACCTCATGGTACCTCATGACTGTTTCATTTCTGCTGCCCTCTGGATTTCTGCCATTGTGCATCACAACACAATATTAGATTCTGCCATGACTCCTCAGTTCATATTAACAAGCTTTTTTGTCTGAGCTGTGTTTGGACTCATGCAGTGTAACTTCATGAACCTGAAAGAGATTTTATTTCTGGCATGCCCTTCCACTTTCTCATGAATTGTTATGTCTTAACTACTTAAGCTTGTACAGACATATCAGAAACTCACTTGACATAATGGTTCATTTGTATTCTTTGTTGTAAATTATATTACCAACAGCTTAGCGATATAATTAAATTTTAGCAGTACCAACTCTGGAATTTTCCCCTTGATCTTTTCATTGTATTAATACTTTGATGGTTTTGGAACACTTTTGCGTATGTTTCTGATGGAAGAGAGAATGTCTCAATATATAGCATTTAAAATCTAGCCTCACTGGAAATCAGTGAGAAATTTCTATCAGTTCATATCTGCTATTTGAAAGAATGTATCTGCAAGTGTATTTGCTTTATTTTCTCAGACTTTTGAATGAAGTTTCATCTCTACTGAATTCTGAATCAGTTCTTTTTGAGATTAGTGAGGTCAGAAATTCACTTTGTAAATGTATTTATTTAATAAATATTTATTTTAGATTAAGTCGAAATGCATGATTGTCATTGCAGGATAATACTGCCCTTTCAACTGACTTGATGTGGTAGGCCAAAGTGCTTGGCCAAAATGGAGCTAATTAAGAGATTAGCAAATACTCTTTTTTTTTTTTTTTTTCTTTTGTCTTTTGTTTGTTATATTTTTATATTAGTATTTTAATTTGGTAATCCGGTTAACTGAAAATTTGTCAAATATAAACTTTAATGTGATTTTGTGCCAAAATAGTTTTTGATATGTACCCTACTGTGCTTATCTGTTTTTAGCATTACTTTGGCAGATCAATGAAATAACATATCATGGAGGGATGCAGTTTGTTTGTTTGTTTTAAATGAAGGGATAATTAATAATACTGGCTGCTGATGCAGTTGTGAGCAGGCACAGAGGTCGACAATAACTGAGCTCTTTGAGGAGGGCTTGGTAGGGTATACCATGAATGGGTCTTGGCATGCTGGATTGGTCATGAGGTCGTTTCTCCAAAGTGGGAACTCACTTGCGAGCATTTGTCAACAGGAAAATGCCCTGCATTAAGTGTTCCCATAAAACGAACAGTATACGCATTTGGAAAGGGAAATATCTTTGTGTTGTTGTTTTTTCTTTTTTTCTTTTTTTTTTTTTTTAATTAGTATTATTTTCTAAGATTAGTACTCTTGAAATTCTAGCAAGTGGCACTTTCATTCCTTCCCCCATCCCCTTTCTCTGTGTTGACAGGGTAGAGACAGAAAGGTTTGTCGTGTACTTTGGGTAAGTGCAGTGAACTGTGGTTTGTCTTCGGTGAATCAGTGCTTTGTTTTACAAGTGATTGGTTTGGACAGAATCTGTCTTTATAATTCCTTTTTCTCTCAGGAATCACATCTTCTGCATCTCTTCAGACAATGCATGCTTGCCCTTTTGTGTTTAATTTGGTGGCATGGGGTTCTGGCTTAAAGACATTTCTTTATTTAGGATCTGTGAATGCTGAAAGTCATGAATGCATGGCTCAGTGTTTGATATTTGAGCGTTTGATGCAATAATGGATTAGTTGTTTTAAACTGCCAGAACTACAATTTGCCCCAACTAAATGACTGAACTGACTAGAATTATGGAGAAGTTTTCTGTGGTGAAAGACGAACAGTTACCTTCTTTTTGAATAACCTGAATTTAGTTTATGTTAACACGAGTCATTGTGTCTACTGACATATTTTTTTAATGTGCAATAAACATGACATATTACCATTTAAAACAAATATTTCCTGGTTTGAATCTTATATCCTCCCTGTAGACTTTGCTACAAGATACATTGCTGTTTTTCTGTTTGTGTGTGGGTGTTCCAGTTAGTTATGGAGTGTCTGTGGAAAGAGTTTTGGAACAGATTTCAAATACTGGATACAATAGATCGTGTTTCTTTCTACATGAAATAGTGTTTCAGGAAGTCTGGGTTGTAGTACAGTGAAACCATAAAAATATTTACAGCATGCTGTATCAAGAGTTCATTGAAATTTTCTTCCAGGAAACATGGAGGATGCACAGGACCCTAAATACATAAAACATGATATAATAAACCATATCCAAGCTGTTAATCTGAAGGTACATTCTTGGTGCATCCTCAGTAGTAGTTTTTTTCCGGCATTTTTAGTGTGATGAACCTAAAGCAATGCCATTGAAAATTACCACATCTGAGGAAATGAATGCAAGAAATGTGCAAGCTTTCCTTCTCTTGTCAAGTAAGGCCCATGATGAAGACCACGATCATGTGGCGGTAGCCCAGGGGGAGGAATCTCTATTTGATCATAACTGCACTGTTCACCATATGCTTTTAGGCAGCGGGTTTGTGAGTAAGGGAGGAGAAAGAGAATGAGACCGAGCTACTGAGCACAGATCCAATGCTTACTAGAGCCAGGCTAGGATCCTACAGGTACTGTCCACATCTTACAGGAGGCAGGTTAACAAATGGGTGAGGATGAAATCCACTGTGTTGAGGGACAACTCTCTTCCAATTTGTAGCAAGAGTCAATTTTGCAGAAGAGCAAAAGAATGTGTAGTTGTCAATGTAATTTCTGTTTGTTTAAGTGGTTTTGGATTATCCTTTATGTTTTGATCCAAGTACAAAGAAATACTGAATGTGACAAACTTTTTACTACTCAATTCTGTTTCTTTTCCTGTGTGTTGTGTGCATGTGTGACTAAAAAAACCCAGAATCACCAATGTAAAAACTAAGCAGAAAACAAAGTTTCTTCAGAGGCAAAGGCTTTTTTACAAATGGATAAACCATGTGTGTACTTCCTAATTTATTTTATTCTTTGCAGGTAATTGTTTTTATAATTTATTAGTAAAATCCATCAGTATTCTGATGCCCTTCACACAGGTGTGGATTTACATGCCAAACAGAACTGTCACTCAAATTAACCTCTTGCCTTCCTTTCTCAGGGTCAGTGTGGAAAATCAAATACTGAAATATGGGTTTACTACTCGTGAAATTATTATTTTGGAAAATGATGATCCTGGAGGAGTGTTTGAATTTTCTCCCTCTTCTAGAGGTCCCTACCGTATCAAGGTAGCTATCTGAGTAATTTTTCTCAATCTTTATGGACGATTCAGTTTAAGCAGAATGTTAGAAAAGAGCTGGATTTTCTTTTGTACAGGAAGGGGAGTCTGTTGAACTGCAGATTGTCCGCAGTAGAGGAAGTCTCATCAGGCAGTTTCTACGCTACACTGTAGAACCAAGAGACAATAATGAGTTTTATGGAAGCACAGGAATCCTGGAGTTTAAGCCTGGTGAAAGAGAGATCATAATTACTCTTCTGACAAGGATGGATGGGATTCCAGAGGTAAAAATTAATAATTTTCTCTCTTCAAATTCTGTTCACAGCCATATTAGTTTGTCACTTATTAAAAATAGACAAATATATAGGAATAAAAGAAGTGTGTAATAGCACACAATGAACCTCCAAACCAGGGATGACTGGATAAATAGCAAGTGTCTTCGGGTTTAATAGTCCTCAGTGGATTTTCTTCTATGAATTAAAACAGTTGCACTTTGCATCCATGTAAATTTTTAGCATCCATGACGTTCCGTAGTATAGACTGCCGTTGTTTAACTGAACTCTTTGTGAAGAATCAATTCCTTTTTGTTGCTTTTCTAGTAACCATCTGCTAATTTTACTCAGCGTACCTCAGTCTAGACTAACATTTCCCGTACAGATACAGAGATGCAATAGTTGTTTTAATGCTCCTTGAAGCATTACCTGTGAGCATTTCCGAGAAATATATGAAGTACAATGTCCCATTAGATTAATAAAGCAAGCAGATACAGCCTTTTTTAATTAGTTTGCTGTCAGTGGTTCTAAAATCTTTGCTTTCTCTGTTATAAAACCAGAAATGTTAATAAAACTTACGGAAAAGTTACCTTTCAGGGAGCACCACAAAGATATTTGTACTATTGAATTGATATGATACTAAGTACACAAAATAAGTCCTTGCCTGTAATAATGCTAGATTTTTTTTTGATAAAATGGTCCTGTCAGAGGTAGAAATTTCTAATTATTTCTTTGTTATGATGATAATGTACAAATGCTGTGCATGTAGAAAGTGTGTGTGATTTCCTTTTGTTTAAATTTGTATCTCTTTCTGCCTGGCTAGGGACTGAGGATGTTTGTCCATTTGTTTTGGATGTAAATACTGAACATGTATATTTATTGGGACTGTTCACCTCTTTTAGCTGGATGAGATATATTCTGTAGTACTCAGTGGCTACAGTGAAATGCCAGGCAAGCTGGGGAGTGCCACAAGGGTCAATATAACCATTCTGAAGAACGATGATCCACATGGTGTCATTCAGTTTCTACCTGATGAACTATCAGTTACAATAAAGGAAAGTAAAGGAGAAATCGTCTATGCTGGTAATTCTTTTTTATTAGAGTTACTAGTTTATCTGCTCTCTGTCCCTGCAAGGCTTCTTGTCCCCATTGCACCTTTCTAGGACAATGTCTGACTCGAGTCTCCACTCAGGAGTTTCTAGAGGGGTACAGTGATGAGCAGTGGAGGAGGATGGGCCAGGGAAGCCAGAGGGATCAGTCCAGTTAAAAAAAAATGTCTAGAGGGTATGCCAGACAGGAGGGACAGAGTATTGATGTATGTGCAAAGTGCAGCCTGGAGGTAGTAGCTCTGCTTGTGGAGCGTGAAGAATAGGGTGCTATGTGAGAGAAGAACAGAGCTAAATCTTCGTATGGGTGACTTCAACTTGTCTATCTCTATTCAATTATTGAGTACATTTGCAGACAATAACAGATTTGAACAAGTCCGGACTGCTTTAGTGGTCTGTCTTTGTGTGTGCTGTATGTAGTGCTCTCATGTATCATTAGTCTTGCAAGAAGTGGATTTGCTTATCATTTCCTTTCCTTTTTCTTTGTTTCAGCTTTGCTGGTCTCTTTTTTTTTTTGATTTGTGTTGTTCTGAAGATGCACACTGACTGCATACGTTTGCTTTCTTTAGCTGCCTACAGAGTTGTAAGAAACCAAGGAAACTATGGCAATGTTACTGTGTCTTGGGTTGTTGACCCAGCCTGTACCAAGGACATCTATCCAGAAGAAGGGACTATTTTCTTTGATAATCTGGAGTTTTCAAAAAACATCACCATTTACTCACTGCCAGATGAGGTAAACATTATTACGGTGTTTTTGTGTGAGTAATATGGGACAAAGAGTAAGTGCTAAAACATTACCATTTAAGGAGAAAGAAGAACTGTCTGCTTTTTAAGATCCTGCTAAGTATTTGTAGGAAACAACAAAATACTTGAGTAAAACTGAGATTACTTCAGCAGATCATAAAAGAATTTGAGAAGTTGTGGATACCTATAAAAAGAAGTTAGAAGCTGAGAGTAGTTGAATATAGTTAGATTTTAGAAAAATTCATTTGAATAAAACCCTTGTTTTTATAGCTGGAATAATATTTTTTATTTTTTAATGCTGATATATTTGAAGTAATATAAGAATGAATTAGAATAATTAATAATGAATAAATAAAGCTGTAAAAATAAATTACATGTATCAGAAACAGGAAACTGCAAAATAACTTTTGGGTCACCTGTACAACAGTAAAGACGAGGGGACATATTTATACAAAGATTTTAGAGGGATGATTTCTGTGTAACTGTATCAACTGTTGTTTGTCATCCCTCTTGACACACCTAAGGATCAATAAATGAAAAACAACGCTCAGAAATCTCTGGTTTGTTAACACTCTCCATCGTTCATTTTCATTTCTTCATTGTTTTTTATGCAAGAAAATAATTTCATAATACTCTCCCTCTAAGGTACCTGAAGAGATGGAAGAGTTCATCATCAGTTTATTCAATGCTACTGGTGGAGCCAGGCTCGGCAATATAACCCGTGCAATTTTAAAAATAACAAGGAACGATGATCCCATTTATTTTGCAGGTTAGATATTATTGGTTTTAAATATAGAATACATATACTACCCCAAATAGGTTTTATTGATAGTCCAGATCATTGGGAAATCCTAATCTCAGTGGAGCTAGTATAAAACATTCATGTTTTTGTTGTGTTGAATTTGTATTTGTTTCCTTCAGAACCTTCTCTTATTTCATTATTCTCTTTGTAGATGCTGGGATTGGTTAGGTGGCGCAGTAGAACAATATTCTCTTCTATCTACAAGTATTTCCATGCCTTTTTCACATGTCTTCTGTTTCACTGAGGAGGAGTGTCCTCTTGGGGAAGATTAAGAAAATAGAGCATGTGCAAGGAGCTCAGGCTTGAACTGAGGTGGATTTGTTGCTTGTGTATTTTCAGAACCTCTGACAGTGAGCGTTAAAGAAGGAAGTGTTGCAAACTTTACAGTCCTAAGGAATGGATCTACTGACGTTGCTGTTGCTGTCCAGTATATTACTGTGAATGGAGATGCAACGGCTGAAGAGGGAGACTTTGTTCCCAGTGGAAAGAGCAGTGTCATTTTGTTCGATGTTGGAGAAAGAGAGCGGAATTTGTCTGTGTATATTAATGATGACGATACACCTGAAACTGATGAAACGTTTTATATCTTTCTTTTGAATTCTACAGGTAAAATTAATGATTTGATGTATGTTTAGTAACTCTCCTTTTTCTTCTGCAATTTTTAACCGGTTTGGTCTTATCATAAAGCAATATATAAATGCCAAGTATTATATCAATTAGGTTTGCTTCAGCATTTCTATACAGTTAATGTACACAGTGTGTTTGGATTTTAATCTTGAATTGTTTAATTGGAAATAAAAACCCTACGATACAGCTGAAAACTTTCCTGCAAAAACAACCGTAGTGAAAGTCTCTTTTCAAATGTAAATGCTCCAAATTAGATGAGGTTTTGACTTGACTACAGAAACACAAGGCTAAAGAATGTTAGCACTGCAACAAGTCTTAGGGAAAGAGGGATTCTTTTAGAGTTTTTTTTGTCATGCTTCAATGTGTACTACACAACTGCCTGATTTCTGTAAAAACAAACAGAACTGTCTCATTTTAAAGGAAGACCATGTAAATTGGCCTCTTTTATTTTTGTAGTAGTGCAACTTACGCATACACTTTTTCTCAGTTTGACTTTATAGTTTTACAAGGCTTCATCTACAGAAGAATGTGTGTTCGGAATTACCCAATGTACCACCCATGAAGGATGGGTTTATTTTAGAAGTAACACTGTTTTGTTTTGGTTTGGTTTGTTTTTTAAATGTTATCATTTAGCATGAAATGATACAAAATTTTTAAGCACATTCTTATTTTTGAAATGGATGTCTCCTGGAATAAACCGTCACTGCTGTGTAATATTGATAAGAAAATATAAGTTAAATGTAAGAAATAGGTACATTTTCTTGGGCTCTACCTGCTTAATAATGACCCTTCTCACCCTTAGCCCTGCCAAACTCAAGGTGTAGTGGGAGAGTCGTCTACAGTTGTGTTACCAAATTTCAATGATCTACTAGGGATTTATTTCAGGATGAAGAAACATAAAAGTAGATTTCTTCACCTAGTCGTGCGTGCTCAGTGCCTTAGCCCTGATGACAGTCTATAATGATCCCGTCTTCACAGTCAGCGAGACTGAGTGCTTCGGGTCACACCACAGTGGACACCCTGTGGCTGGTCTGTGAATTGCTCACAAGGCTTCACTCATGAACTGCATCTGCCCGAGACGTTGGTAGCAGGTGGCCAGAGAATTACAGGGGAATTTTTACCAATTATTGGAGTATAAGGTAGCTTATGTGCTTCCTGAGGTCAGCTAGCGTTCATTCTGCTACCCAGGTCTCCTACAGAACATCAACCATATGGAAATGATTGGAGAAAGCCATTCTTCTCCCTTCTTAAATTTTCTCTTTGGTCATCTCTTTCTCCTTTTATTACTTTCTTTGGGATCTACTGGTATTTTCTCTTACCCCTCTCTTGGGAATGTATGATGGCTTTTCTCCTGGCACGCTGCTCCTACAAGAATGGGTAGCTGCAGGCTCACTTTGCCTCTAAAAGCAGGATCATATCATCATGCAGTCTTCTAGAATCACTAAGAAGACAGATTTCTGTACACATTTCTGAAAGAAAAAAATCCTATTTTCTTTATATGATCCATTGCATAGGTTTGCCTTGATTATTACATCGTTTTTGAAAGTTATGGCAGGCTGTTGAGGCTCCGAGAAAATACAGATAGGTATATGAAGTTAAAGTAAGAAACACATTGTTTACTCGGAACAAAGGCTGGTCTAACACTGGTCAATAGGGTGGAAAAATGGGATGGGCGTGGAAACATAATGTACATCTGTGGACATAAGAAGGATGTTAGAATGTCCCTACAGTGCTGGTACACACACAGATATCCTACTAGCTTCTAGTCTACGTCACAGGTATATTTTTTCCTATCAGATAGACGGTGATATGGGTATGAATAAGCTCTTAGACATTGTTCTTAGCTCATATTTAGTTTAAGTGCAATAATAGAGGAGAGCTGGGATCTCTGAATACCTATCTTTTTCTTTTGACTTGACTAATTTATCAGACATTAAATACTACCTCTCATACAATCTTTTCTGCTCAGAAATGCATCTTCTCTGGTCATGTCACATATATTTTTCCTTCAAATTTTATGCCTTGCTCTCTGCATGAGATGCTACTTAAGTATTTTTACTCTGATTTGCCCATTACAAGAGCATCTCGAAAATGGGGTTTTCACTGATTGTTTTACCATTACTCATTTCTTGCATAAAAGCATAAAAGTGGTTGGTGTGAGAAGGAAACACCCTCAGTTTTAGAGTTGCTTTCATTTCTGATTGCAGTTTTCATAAAATTAATCCCCCTCTTTTTAGGGGATACTGTTATCTTTAAGGCTGGAGTGGCTACAGTTATTATTGAAGCAAATGATGATCCTAATGGAATTTTCTCCTTGGAACCTTTAGAGAAGCCAGTGGAAGAAGGCAAAAGTAACAATTTTTCGTAAGTAACTTCTAAATAACACTTTTGCACTTTTTTTTGGACTCACGTGCATGGTACTTTATGGATAGTACTTAGATCTAATCCCATACAAGTTTGCATTGATAAAAATGTATTAAAGAAAAATCGCTTTACTAAATTTTGAATTAAATGATCCGTAAACATGTTGAAGACATCAACTGTTTTATTATCAGGTAGACAATGCATATAAAAATGTATACAGAAATTCATGTTAAAATGTAGATAAATAAGACTACAACATTGTTGATTTGTTGTATTCTCAGTAGGTCTTAGATACAGAATAATCTAGATGATTTAGCAGACTATAACCCCGGCTAATGGAGAAATAAAAAATCTCTTCAAAATATAGCTAAATATGACCATTTTGTTCTTATTTTCTTTTTGCACCCTACTTTGAAGCCTTCTCCTACAAACAACCTATATACCTGTATTCTTTCTGTCAGTTTGTTTTTATTCTACCTCTTAATACAGACAGAAGTCTTTAGAGTCCAGATGTGACTGTCTTCTAGACTGAAAATACCCTTCCCTAGTCTGACCTCTGAAAGTGTTTTGTTTCCAGCCACTGGGATGTATTCAAGAATGGGAAGGGTTAAGAAATGAATTTGCTTGGCATCTTACCTTGTTATGTTCTGTAAAGTCAGGATGGGATTATAATTTGGCAAAAATACTGATTTTTCAGTAAGAAACCTCCAGACAGATTATATAGAGAAGTTAGGTCACAATAAATGTGATAGTGTGAACAGTTAGGGAAGAGGCTCTTTTAACATTTGATTATATTTTATATATTTTTATTTGATTTTTTAAAAATTTTTATTTTAAGGCCCTGAAACAGATGCCTGTGACTGTGAATTAGGTTTTTTGATTGTGTTGCACATCTGAAAAATGAAAATCCTTGATATTAAATATATTGTATGTTGGGTTTTGTTATGCTGCTCTCTGAGGTTTTTTTCCGTCCTCTATAATTATTTTTTTTTTAATTTGATGGTGTGAAGAACGATGATTTGAACTAAAGATGTTTATATACAGGTGCTTTATGGATAGCACGATCACCAACATTTGAGGACCTAGCTCCATCCTCACTGATGAAATCTGTTTACTAGGGAGCTGTCTCTTCCATACCCTCACTGCTTTGGCTGTTGTGTAGTTCATAACTAAAGGGTCTGAGCAGCATATAACCTAACTGCTGAGAGCAGGTGTGGCACCACTGAGCTGTAGAGGGAGTAACTGGTGTTACTGCAGCAGTGCTACACAGCAGGGATAGAGCACCCTGGTTCATTGCAAAAAAAAAAAAAAACAAACCCAAAAAACCCAAAACCTCTGGAAGCAGAAACAACATAATTGTGTTGCTGTGCCTGGACTGGTTTTTTTCTGAACTAATTTTTCAGCCTGATATAATCTCCTTGTACATTTTATTTTGCTGTGCAAAGAGGTGTACGCTTTTTATATGTAAAGCGTGCTTTGTTAATACAGGCATTATATGCTTCAGTTTTTATCTATAATGCCTTTTGGAAATTGGTGAAATTATGTTACTAGATAGCTGTACAAAAAGTAAAATCTTGGGTTTATTTACTACACTCTTAATCTGGAATAATCACAGCTTTCTGAAGGACAAAGAACATAAATCTGATGTAGGAAAGAATTTAAGGAGGCTTGATGTTTAAAGAGAGAAATGTTTGTGCTTCAGTGTAGATGATTTTCTCGTCTAAGGTTGGCCAGGTATATCAATTTTTAATGTTAACTTGCTGAAGGATTATACATTTCTAGTTGTTATTTACATAATAGAAGTGCAAGACATACTGATGCTGAGCTTAACAACACTAGTTTGCATGGGCCTGCACTGGTTACTTTTTTTTTCCTGCGGTACCTGTGGTAAACCTGGGAGTAAAATTATACTCTGAAATTGCAGGGCTGCAAATAGGATTGTATAATTGTATTTATTGTTCATGGTTATTTAGAACATTGTATGCTATTTTTCACAGTAAGGAAGATTAGTGTAATTGTGTTTTCCCTTGCTAATGAATGCTGATGCGTACCTGCCAGGACAATCTCTCTGTCTGTATCACTGAACAGGGTTTTGAGACACAGAGGACACTTTGGCAATGTCTCAGTGACCTGGCAGCTCTTTGATAATGACTCTGCACTGAGGCCAGGAGAAGAGTTCTATGAAACGTATGGGACTGTGTTCTTCATGGACGGTGAAGGTTTAAAGCCAATAACACTCCGTGCTATTTCAGATAGAATTCCTGAATTCAATGAATTTTACATTCTGAAGTTGGTGAATGCTTCAGGTATTGTCTTCCATATCACCATTCCCTTCATATCTGGTAGAAAAGAATTATGTTTAATCAATCAAAAAGAAACCAACCCTGGAAATCATGTCTTGATATCCTATACTTTTCTGGTAAGGTTTTAGGTTTTATTTTTCATTTCATCTTAATTTAGGTATATGAATGCAGTTATTCAGTTCCTGAATTACTGTTATAGGCACTTTGGTGATCTGACTTTTTAAAAGAGGCCCCTTGGTGATTTCAGAGATGTAGAACTTCATGTAGTTGAAGAAAAATAAAACTATGACTTTATTAAAATAAAATATGGCCATGCATGTCTACCGTAATGGAGGTTGGTTGGTTTGTTTGCTTTTTACTAGAGGAGGTAAAATACTTCTAGTTACCACTTCATAGGACTTAAATTACAACTGCTCCAGGTCTGCTGCTAAGCAGAGTTCCAAATCTACACTCATTCCACCTCAGTACTATTCGTGGTCTTCTGTGCCCAGACACAAATGAAAATATGTGTTGACCTTTTGTGTAAGAGAAATCCACGTGTGTGTACAGAAGATCTCCTACTCATAATAGGTAGATCACTGCACACGCTGCAAATGGAGGCTCTGCATTCGCATCATGATCTTTGCATCATGAATTCTTACTGTCAATTCTTACTTAGATAACTGACAGAAATAGAAATAATGGCAGGACTTGGCAGCAGTTCTAATACACAACAGGTTACTGATTCTGCAAGGTATCTCTGCTTCTGTTTCAGAGGCAATGGGCCAAATTTTGCCATTCCATATTCAAGTAAATCTTGGAGTAATATGAGAACTGAATTTGGCCCCATGTTTGTCAAATGAATCAAAGGTAACCTATCTCATTTACTAAATCAGAAAAGTTGGAGCTAATCCTATATTAGCTGAAAGACAAATGTGTGTTTTGCAGTTAAGAAATGACATACTGCTTTGTTTTCTATGAAAATTGTCACTATAGTGTTAAATATAACTATACAGTTAAATTATGTTATTAATAAATCAGCATTTTCTAAGAGTTCAGAGGCTCTTTAAAGAAGATTTAACCCTTTTTAGAAAGATATTTTATTAAAAAAAACATTTAAGTACTTGGTAAGTTTTGTTCAGATTGTGGTGCTTGAAACCAACCATTAACTTTTGCTCTAACTTTCATTATATAGGTGGGTCACCTGGTCCTGGTGGTCAGTTATCTGAAACAAACCTTGCTGTAACTGTGATGATCCCGTTCAATGATGACCCTTTTGGAGTCTTTGTTATAGATCCAGAGAGCCTGGACAGAGAGATAGTGGAAGATGTTCTTTCTGAAGATGATCTTTCCTATATTACAGACTTCACCATCTGGCGACAACAAGGCACCTTCGGTGTTGTCCGTTTAGGTTGGGAAATACTGTCTAGTACATTCCAAGCTGGACTACCATCAATGGTAGACTTCTTGCTGCTGGGATCGTTTCCAAGTTCAGTACAATCTCAGCCTCACATGAGGCGCCATCACAGTGGAACAGATGCTTTGTATTTCAGTGGAAAAGAGGATGCATTTGGAATTATTGGTCCTGAATACGCATATGATGGAAATACTGCAGTAACCAATTTTACATTTTCAGCGTGGTTAATTCCTAGTGCCAGTACTGATGGTTATATAGTTGAAAAGGATGACGGTCATGGGACCTTGTATTACGGCGTGAAAATCCAGACAAATGATTCTCATGTTTCTGTAGGGCTTCATTATACAGCATTAGGATCCAATATGACATATATGGCTAAAACAGCAGTCCTGAAATATCTGGATGAAAATACTTGGCTTCACCTTCTGATTACTCTGGATGAAAGTATAATTGAATTTTACCTGGACGGAATTCCAGTTCTCGGAGGAATTAAGAGCCTTAAAGGAGAAGCAATTGCTGATGGTGAGCCAATAGCCTGCATTATTTTTCTTCATATATAAAGTTCTGCAATGTATAGAAGAGCCTAGCTCCTTGACAGGTGTATGCAAGATACTGAAATTATTATATCTGATTAGTTAATTGAAAAGAATGAAGATTCTGAGGATTTCCAAAAAGCATATGGAAATTAGAGCTGTGAATGTTCAAAAAAATTCAGAACTGTAACAGAGCTTGGATTGCAATAATTTGAAAATAATATTTTAAAATTACATTTATAGACGTATGCTTATCATGTATACATACCATTATATTTGTTTGCAATTAATAATTTCCATCAGATTTACAGCACTGTAGCTTAGAAAGGACTATTTTCCTCTCAGTTTCTGAAACAAAATGCAATAATTTTGTTTCTAATTATGTATTATATTAAAACAAAGCCAGTATCTTGTAAGCAATAGAGTTTATCAGGGTGTAGATTTACTTAAGTATGTATTTACATGGTATATGAAAATTATTCCTATAAGTTTAATAGTGTTCCAAGCAACACTCGCAAGTGTACTTCAGTTTATCTAACTGGATAGTCCCAGATGTAATTTTAGCCACAAGTAACCATTATGGACATTCACTCTGAACTCGCACATCAGTGTCCAGAGAAATATCAGAACAATTCCTTTAGAAAGATATTATGTGGTCAGAGTACATTTATGTTTACTCTTTCTTCTGCACTTTCCCATTGTTCCACATGCATTTTTTTTTTTCTTGGAGATCATCTCCATCCTTTGTCCTTTCTTCCCCTCGCCTTCAGTTTCACATGTTTTCTTTGGTGGGTGTAGGCAGTGAATAATTATCAAATTATTGAATACAGTCTCCTTTTCTGTAATCAAAGAAAGGCAAAAAACATACAGTGATGTTAAATGCATATTCATCTATATGCATATATGTACACAAGCATAGAGTGAGTTTAGAGAGAAGACTTTGTTAATTGTATAGTGTAGTATTTTATTTCTGCCTGTAAATTTCCAGTGGTTGAAGTCTGAGAAAAGCCTTTGCCCTCTGTAACAAAGTAGTGCCTCTGCAATTAATAATTTCCATCGGGCTTGCAGTGCTGTAGCTGAGAGGAATTTTTCCCCCTTAGTTTCTAAAACAAAGATGTGTGAAATGCAATAATGCTTCTGTTGCTAGAAGGATATGTCTGAGTCGTAAATTTTCTGTATTAGTGGAGATGGCATGTGCTCTGTCTGGAGATACTACAAGTATAAGGTAAGGGTTTAATCTCTTTCCATTTAATGTTGGATGCTGCACAGTGGTGAGCTGAGTAGCCCAGTTTTTCTCACGATCCTCCGCCTTATGCCCTGGGACCATTATCAGCTGCTGTGGTTGCTTTTCTTTAGAACTGACACTCAGTGTCCTATGTATGCCAATGCATTCAAGAGCACAGTTTCTTCCAAACCCAGAAAACAGCTGGAAAGAAGAGATATCTATGTGTTTTAGCATGATAGGAATGAGTATGAGCTACCAGCTTAGTATATTTGTGTGAAAGGCGGTTGTGATCCCATGATCTGCTGAGTAGGATAATTGTTTGGAGACAGAGAAATATTAATGCTGTCGTAGAAAGCATTTGCAATCTGGTGTACCTTTCTGAAATCCATATTCCTAGTGTGTTGGGGAAAAGCATGTCCAGAAGGGCTGATGCAGTGATGATGAGTATCATCAGAATGGAGCCACTGTCCTAGCAGAGAGAGATAAAATGGGGTCTGTTTGGCAAGACAAAAGCCAAGAGGAGCTGGCGTTGTGGTCTGCAAGTCTCTGATAGAAAGAGAGAAATTTCCAAATCTCATTAAATTAAGGGGTGGTGACAATGTGTTGGTAGGACTAGTTGGATGAAAAACCTGAAGAGCCTAGGATGGAGTTGTTCAAGCTGTGATGATCTACCTGTAACATTGACACGAGTCTCGAGGAACCTCCTGGTTTTGCATTTCAAGATCAATATGATTCCTAATCCAGGGATAGTAAACATTTTAGCATTGATTTTTAATAATTACAGCTATTCAGCTGCAGATTTATTACTTTGAAGAAATGCAATAACATGAGGAAAATTACAATTTCCTTCTCAGGTCCAGGAATAGTGAGAATTGGAGCAGGAGTCAATGGCAGCAGTAGGTACACAGGGCTAATGCAGGATGTAAGGCTTTATGAGCGTAAATTGACACGAGCAGAGATCTATGAACTCCACGCAACTCCCGCGAAGAGCGATGTCCACCCTGTCTCTGGGTATTTGGAGTATTGGCAAGGAGAGACCAATAAATCATTCATTGTGTCTGCGAAGGATGACAAAGAGGAAGAAGGAGAGGAGTTGTTCATCCTAAAGCTCGTTTCTGTGCGTGGTGGAGCTCGAATTTCACAAGAAAATACCACGGCAAGATTAAGAATACAGAAAAGTGATAATGCTAACGGTTTATTTGGCTTCACTGGAGCATGTATTCCTGAGGTAAGGTGTTCATAAGGAAGATTTTAGGTGAAGTTTTGGACACAGAAAAGCTAATGGCAACACCAATTGACCTGCATAGGGCCTTGATTTCACACTGTTAGTTGCTGTGGTTAAGCAAAGTTTTCCTAGAATTTGGAAATGTGTAAATTCTGTTAATACAGGCTCAGGCTCACTGACGTTTTAAAAATGCCCCCAAATTATTTTTGTTAGGAAAATCTATTTTATTACTTAAACTAAAGACTAAGGCTTAAATTTTTCTAGGGGAACATTTTTTCTTTTTCTTCTGTCACATCTGAGATTGGGTTCTCAATTAAAATATGATTTAATTTTATATTTTTGAGAATTAATTATTACAAAGATTTTTATTATATTTTTCTGTGTTACATGATGTATTTGAAAGAATTTTACTACAGGTCGTGCAATGGCAAGATGTGATGTATTTTTCCACAATCATTTGTTGTCATATGGTAAAAATTGCATATGTTTGGTGTGAATTTGGTTGCTACTGGATTGAGTGGCATTTTTTTTTATTTTCAACATTGAATGATTATTTGGTAGTAGCCACCATATATGCAATATATAAACTTGCTACTTTTTTGGGGGAAGATTGAAATAAATGCAGTTAATTTTTAGTTCTTTAATGAATTATGAGGAAGAAGGACATTATATCTCTTGGTATTGGAAAAAAAAAAATTCGGAATACATTCCAATTTGGGAGCTCTCATGACCTTTAAATTACATTCTTTCTAACCAAAGTGCTTGTGATGTGTTTGAAAGTAACCATCTTGCCTGAGTGATACTGGGTTTCAATTTGGTTCAGTTTGCTTTCTGCATGCCTGCCATATGCTACGATAATAGATTCCTTCAGTTTCAAATGCCACTGATAATACCGTGATGCCACAGATCATCAACCAACCATGAAGCAAAATTAAAAATTTATATGGCATGTTAATTGTTTTGCACTTATGCCCATTTCGCCAGGGAAGTATCAGAGCTCTCAGTGATGGTACAGATACACAGCACTGTTTTATCAGCAGTTTAATTGCTTTGTGTGCATATCTCTCTAGTGAGCAGCTGAAGGCACATGCAGTGTTTTCTCTGTGTTATACAGGAGCTCTGAAATTTATCTAATGCTTAAGGTAGCTTTAGACTTTCTGGCAATTTTCCAATAAAAATTCATTATCTGTTTTAGTTCTACGATCATAATTTTCTAGAATATATGGTCAGTATCAATACCTTCTTTATTCCACATATGTGAAAATGTTGCTGCTGAAATTGTGTTCTCTGTGAGGACAGAATTGTAAAGAGGACTGTAGCACAGAAAATTTTACAGTTTTTCCTGAATGATGATAGTATAGTTTAATTTTAATGGGGTTTTTTTGTTTGTTTTTTTCCCCATAGTGCTTCTATTTGGGGAAAGGGGGAATCCAAATCTTTCTTTAGATTATTGCTAATGAGAATGAAAATCATTGACATTAATATAATAGTTTCAGTTGCTTCTGACATGCACATTTCAAGCATATTGATTCTATCTTTTGACACGTAGCTTGGGTGAAGAGATTGTGTCCAAAACAAACAGGGTGTAGTTATTGTCTTACCTTTACAGTCCACAATGAAGTACTAGAAGATGTTGCAAATTCCACTTTCTGACCACCATCAAGTTCAGTTTCAGTTTCTGACCAAAAATGTTGAAAGTAACATGACAGCAATTTTTTACCTGAACATTTGACTAGCATTATAGAATCCCATGTTTTGCATTTATTGCTTTGTTTTACTTTGACAATAACGAACTTATCGATTTCTTGCTTTCTTCCAGACCGCTGATGAGGGTTCCACTATATCCTGTGTCGTGGAGCGTACGAGGGGAGCCCTAGACTATGTGTATATAAATTACATTATCTCACAGGTTGATTCCACTGGCATTAATTACTCTGTTACCGATTTTTCTAACAGCAGTGGCACTATCACATTCCTTCCTTGGCAGAGATCAGAGGTAAACCCTACCTTCCCATTAAGTATTCATCCTGTCCTTTGCAAACCTGCTGGAAAACACCTTCTGACAGTGCTTGACTGGTTTCATAATAGAGAGAGTTTCCTTCTTCACATGGTTTTGTTAAATTTTGCAAGGTTTTTTGCATCCCTGACAACTAATAAGAGATATGATAGATGCTTGTAGATCTGTGTGTATCTCGGTTCAGGGGTCACCATGTGAACACATATGTTTGAATTCACAGAATATATGAAATATGTTTACATATATGTATATATTAGATGAGTGTATATCTACATGTATTCTTGAAGTGTAGACGGTCCTGGGCTGAAATAAAAGATCCAGCTACTTTTGAGATCGGAAAATGATCAGGTGTTGAAACTCAAACTTATCTCTACATCAATTAAATAGACAGCAATAAAGTTCACTGCTGTAATCAAGTGTCTTGCAGCTGCTGTTGGCCACATTCTGTTCCTTTTGCTTAATCTGTTTCTATTAATTCAATCCTGACCCACAGTGCAGGAATTTAACATTTCTTTGAAGATTTGTGGGACCACAGTGTTGTAGAAAGTTAATGCGTGTTTTCTATTAGTGTCCATAAAATAGCAAGAGTGAATTGTTAGTAGGACATGCTGCCCTCAATTTCACTTTCATGACTCTGCTTAAGTCAGTATGAACCGACTGAAACCCACTGACACCTCTCTAAGGATCCCAGTGGCTCCATTAGAACTGCGCATCTTGTCCCAGTTAAACAATGCAGGTGATGAGACCTTGGCAAAAGCTTGTGATATCTGAAAACAGTTTGTTTATGTCACTGTTCATTCAGCTTTAATCCTCCATTGAATCATAGTACTGCACTGCATATAAAGCAAATATTTCCAAAGCTCTTCTAGTCTGGCAGCATGGGTGAGGCCTGCCTTATTCTATCTAGTGGCAGAAATGGGCTGGTATTCACTCTTTCTCCCTTGCTACGTGGTCCAATGTATTGTCTACTTATGGAGGAGTTAATGGGCATGGCCCTAAGAAACAGACTGGGAGCAGCTGCTCGTCAGGGGAGATAGCCTGAGAGACTTTCCACTGATTCCTGTAAGCTACTCATTCCCACGCCTGTAAATACAATCAGCTACTTAAACCTTTTTCTTCTATATGTTTGTCTAATCGTATCACAATATATAGAAAGCTGTAGTTGTCTGAGGTGAACGTGTTAGCCTGTGCAGAGCCTGTTTTGTTAATGAATAGTATAATCTGCAAAATCAGGTGTCAGGGGGCTTAAAAGCTTGCTTTACGTGCTCTCTAAGTTGGATTGATCACTGTAGTGTCTCTTCGGATGCACAATTTGTTCAAGATTTTGAAATCTATCGGATGTTTCATTTTCAGTATACACAATTTAAACTATGCTTATGTTAAAGTAGATAATAATTGCTTGCTTGCTTATGTGTTTATGTAATTTGAAGCATTTAAAAAAATATGCTTTCCTTCTCTGATGGCTTGGTAAAGTTGTTTTTGAAATGCATATTCAAACCATAAAATGTTCTCCTAGAAGTTAGGTTAACTTAGGTGGAAAGTAAGAATGTTGCCTACATTATTTTCAAAACTACACAGCAGATACAGCTGACTGACTAATCAAAGAATTCGATGAGTTAAGCAGGGTCGTGAAACTCATAAGTGATGTATGTTGCACGCTTTGATTTCTCTATGATTTGGTCCTTCTCTAGGTCTTAAATTTGCATGTTATTGATGATGACATTCCGGAGCTAAATGAATATTTCCGTGTGACATTAGTCTCTGCAGTGTCTGGAGATGGAAAACTAGGTTCAACTCCTACCAGCGGTGCGAGTATAGATCCAGAAAAGGAAACTACTGATATCAGCATCAAAGCCAGTGACCACCCATATGGTAACAGTGATGGAGATGATACTGTCTTGTTGCAGTTAATTGTATAGTTCTAGCTCAACAGATAAAAACTTTGCTTAGCCTTGATAGCTGAGGAAGCAATGCCAAGTATTTATCTAGCTTAACATTAATTAATAATTTTTTACATGAGTGAAAGCTGAGTTATTTATTTTTGAGAATACTACAAAAAGGCATCATTGCTGCCCTGACCAAACAGGCAATGAGAACAGATAAACGTTGCATGTAGTTGATCCTCTGCAAATTTTGCTCAGATCAGAATTCCTGATGAAGAGAGACATTTCTGCATGCTTGTTATACCAGTAAGTGCCCAATACTATGACACTAAGACTCTTTTGGCAAGGGCTTTATTTATTATTTTGCTGTGGCTTTATCGGGGCTGATACGGGTATCAGTGAGGGAGGGGAAGATACACAGCACATCCCTGGAAATAGCATGATTGTGTCCTAAGGGCATATCAGTAATTGTTTCTTAATTTCAGAAATGTTAAATGTAAGTATAATAAATAAATTGGTTTCAATTTATTACCATAAATTTGGTGCAAGAAGCCATGTAAATAGTACCTCTTGTTTGCCAGGTCTACTACAGTTCTCGGTGGGGCCACCTCCTCAGCCAGGTGACGAAATGATTCTGCCAGCCTCTGCTGTGCCACATGTTACAACCAAAGAAGAAGTTGGACACATCAGATTACTGGTAGTGCGTGCACAAGGCCTTCTTGGAACAGTTCTGGTGGAATATAGAACAGTGCCGCTTACAGCTTCCAGTCCTAAAGACTATCAGGTATGGCCAGTGCCAAAATGTGTATTTATTTTAGGATTTAATTATTTTAGGTTTTAGGAGTTATTTGTCCTGGAGATAGCCTTCAGCTTGAGTATTTTAGCCCAGCTGTGATTCTTTTCATAGAAACACACATTTATGTGGTGATGTGAAAAGTGAATGTGTAATACTCTCTTATACACATCTGTGCAGTACTATGATTCAATGGAGGATTAAAGCTGAATGAACAGTGACATAAACAAACTGTTTTCAGATATCACAAGCTTTTGCCAAGGTCTCATCACCTGCATTGTTTAACTGGGACAAGATGCGCAGTTCTAATGGAGCCACTGGGATCCTTAGAGAGGTGTCAGTGGGTTTCAGTCGGTTCATACTGACTTAAGCAGAGTCATGAAAGTGAAATTGAGGGCAGCATGTCCTACTAACAATTCACTCTTGCTATTTTATGGACACTAATAGAAAACACGCATTAACTTTCTACAACACTGTGGTCCCACAAATCTTCAAAGAAATGTTAAATTCCTGCACTGTGGGTCAGGATTGAATTAATAGAAACAGATTAAGCAAAAGGAACAGAATGTGGCCAACAGCAGCTGCAAGACACTTGATTACAGCAGTGAACTTTATTGCTGTCTATTTAATTGATGTAGAGATAAGTTTGAGTTTCAACACCTGATCATTTTCCGATCTCAAAAGTAGCTGGATCTTTTATTTCAGCCCAGGACCGTCTACACTTCAAGAATACATGTAGATATACACTCATCTAATATATACATATATGTAAACATATTTCATATATTCTGTGAATTCAAACATATGTGTTCACATGGTGACCCCTGAACCGAGATACACACAGATCTACAAGCATCTATCATATCTCTTATTAGTTGTCAGGGATGCAAAAAACCTTGCAAAATTTAACAAAACCATGTGAAGAAGGAAACTCTCTCTATTATGAAACCAGTCAAGCACTGTCAGAAGGTGTTTTCCAGCAGGTTTGCAAAGGACAGGATGAATAGTTAATGGGAAGGTAGGGTTTACCTCTGATCTCTGCCAAGGAAGGAATGTGATAGTGCCACTGCTGTTAGAAAAATCGGTAACAGAGTAATTAATGCCAGTGGAATCAACCTGTGAGATAATGTAATTTATATACACATAGTCTAGGGCTCCCCTCGTACGCTCCACGACACAGGATATAGTGGAACCCTCATCAGCGGTCTGGAAGAAAGCAAGAAATCGATAAGTTCGTTATTGTCAAAGTAAAACAAA